GTCACACACCTTTACATGCTCCATGCAACTCCATCCATCCATTATCTATGCACCACTTAATCCTCACAAGGGTTGCAGGGCACAACATGTTTTTGGACGGCTGCAAGGTCGCTCGGTGGTTAGCATGGTCGCCTCGCAGCAAGAAGGTTGCCGGTTCGCGTCCCGGTGAGGACGCCTGGGATCTTTCTGCGTGGAGTTTGCATGTTCTCCCCGTGCAGCGTGGGTTCTCTCCAGATTCTCCAGCTTCCTCCCACACAGTCCAAAAACATGTTGAGGTTAATTGGTGATTTTAAATTGTCCGTAGGTGTGAATGTGAGTGTGCTTGGTTGTCTGTAGCCCTGTGATAGACTGGTGACCTGTCCAGGGTGTCCCCTGCCTTCACTTTCAGTCAGGGCTCCAGCACCCCCACGACCCTAGTGAGGATTAAGCAATGTATAGATAATGGATAGATGGATGTTTTTGGACTGTGGGAGGAAGAACCCGGAGAGAACCCACACTGGGGAGAACTTGCAAACTCCACACAGAAAGATCCCAGGCGTCCTAACTGGGACACAAACCGGGGATCTTCTAGCGGTGAGGCTAACCTATGCAACTGACATACTTATTGTACTGTCCCCCTAACATGCGTCAGGATGTCACTGTGACCATGTGTTCACATGTTCTACAGCTGAAACACACTAATGAGGGTATTAAAGTCTTACTGTGTTAAAGTCAGTGAGGTAATTCACTATAAAACACTATATTAGACTGTATTCTCTAAAAATATTCTGTCTGTGTTTTCCAGTTAAAACACAATATACCCATAAATGCAACACTGAACCAAACACTGCAAACAGAAAATGTGTTTTTATTCTTTTCTTTTTGCCCATGTCTCTGTCTTTACAGTTACTGGTATAGGAACAGAATTTTTGGCTTAAAAGACATTGCTGAGACTAATTTCCCTTTGTCATTGCTAAATTATTATGCAGAGCAGCACCATCCTTCCTGTGAGCAAGTTTTTACTGCATTGTCTTTGTATTTCCTGTTGCCGTGGAGACCAACAAACTGCTGCTATAAAGAAAATGGCCAGAAGGCGTCAGTGTTGCACAACAGAAACCTCCACCAGCTTTTACAGTCAGATGTCAAGCACTTTTTACAGTTTAATGTCATTCAATGATAAATTAATTGCACTGCATTACATGAAGACTTTGTATGCATTTATTTTTTTAAAGGCATAAAACTGATTTTTTTTTTTTAATTTAAAAAGGTGAAAAGTTGCAACTGAGCAAAGTATAGCTTGATAAAATAAAAGCTGTTACCAACCTACTAATACACTACCAAACAGATTACTTAAAAGAAGAATATAAAGTGGAGTCTTGAGCAACATTTAGTTCGATATTTATGTGCAGCTGATTCCAGTTTTCAACCAACTAGATTCCAGAATCATCCGTTCAGTAATTCACCTGGAGTGCAACCACCAGATTACTGTAATCCCATTTAATGTACTACATTACTTCCTAAAACTGCTGACTGGATAGCCACAGAGTGAAAGTGAGAGGTCGTGGCCTGGAGGAGGTGAGAAAGAGAAGAGGAACCATGTGTGGGAGGAATGTGAACAGTATTTAAAATGTGGAAGGTATCGAGTGTTTTCCTGCAGAGAGCTGCATGCTGATGAGCTCAATATTCAGTCCCAGCGTTTAACTCGGAGAAATCGATCAGCATCAGCTGCTGTGGCTCTCAAACCACCAGCGGAAGAAAAAAAAGAAGAGGAACAAGTATTTATCAGCAACTACACGTCCTCTTGTGGAAGCTGGTGCACAATGAATGCCAGTATAGTAACACAACATTATTAACAATATATGTGCTTATAGGAAAACCTCTGTTTTAAAAAGGCCATTAAATCTTAAAGCAATCTTACAGATAAACATATTAATGTAATATTCAATTCTATATTTTGCATATCTGACTCGCAGCATTTTCAGTTTCTGCATAATGTTTCACATTTATGTCAGAGATGTTAAAATAGGCCAGAGATGCAAACTGGTGAATCAGCCTCCCAGGAGGTCTGTCATTATAATCTGGCCTCCATATTCAACCCGTCCGACACGGCGGTGCAGCGCCACACATTCCTTTCAGTTACTGTAGCCTGTATTCAGCTGCGATATTTGACCCCAGACAGACTCAGACGTGTCCTGCATTGTGGGAAACTCCCAAATGTTGTGTCAGCAAAACTATGAAATGTGCAAATACCAATAAGAATGCATATTGTAGATTACATATTTTTTATTTGTTTTGCTTGAGACCATAATATTCATGCATATTAACTTATCAAGCTGTTTAGATTAGTATTTGTGTCCAACAGAAACTTGGTAAAAAAGGAAATTAATCTTCTTCAGTCACAAGCAGGAGGAAGATATTCGCAAATAAATTATTATTGGAACTTTGTTTACATGACTTCTACACACATCACACCATTGATCCTCATGTGTTTTACTCATTATTACTTCAGGTTTCACCAAGCTGCATGCCGCTGACTCACAACTCAAAGATGACACATCTCCCCTCCTCACAACCACAGAGACGCAGCTATTTAAATGAAAGCTTTATTTACAGGTGCTGATGAATGGGGTTCTTTTTTCAGGTGCTGCAGACGGGCAGTGACGCCTGCTGAGGCGGACAGACGACTCAAGTGTGGGAAATACACTCGACTACCACTAAAACACATTTAATATTACAGTAAAACATCAGGAAAGATATGGAAATCAGTTTAGCATGTGTAATCTGAGGACTAAACATTCATGGATAGTATAGTTTTGGTGTCTGTGAATCAACAACAAAAATAAACAGTCAGGCCATTGGAAAGTGTTTGTGTTGTGTTTTGTGTCTTATTTTGTAAGACTTGACATTTAAAATAAACCCTCTGCCATCATCAGGCTGCATCCTTGAACGTAGTTTGTGCAGCATTTACATGATTCTCTAAGACACAACTGGCTCATAAATAGTGCCTTATCTAATGTTTGTGGCCAATTAAAATATGTTGTGGTTGTTTAACTCTTTATGCATGTAAGAAAATGTCCTGGTTTGTAGGAAAATAAGAAATGTATTCATATATGACGAGGAAGTTGTTGAAGCAGCAAAAACATTTTAACAGATGTAATTTGCTGCAGTGTCTCCTATAGTTTGCATCGATGCCTTAAAACGATTGCTCTAAAACCACCTGTTAGAATAATAATGTTAAAGAACTACATGCAAATACATGGAAGATTCACATCATCATGTTCTCCAACTTAGTTTTCCCCCCCCACTGTGTACCCTCTATCTATCTATCTATCTATCTATCTATCTATCTATCTATCTATCTATCTATCTATCTATCTATCTATCTATCTATCTACCAACTATCATCTCCTGCAGTAGATGTGACACTCTAGGTGGCTAATAAAGGCAAACTAAAGCCAACAATCACACTAAACTCACTGAAAAAACCACCGGTGAAGCTGCACACCATCATACACAACCACAAAGAGAAATGTCTGCATATAACCACAGTTGAAACAAGTTCTCACCAGACATTTTTAGAACATCTTTAGTTAGCCTACCTTATTTTAAATTGCTCTCATACTGAAACTGATTTTGAGGGAGTTTCATGTTTGTGCTTTAGATGTGCTTTCGCCACAGCAATATGATATATCTTTATGTCACGTTTACTATGCTTGCACAGGTCACCACTGGTGCAGATTTTGGCTTCTGAAGTGGGAGGTTTTATTACAAATATCACCATATTTTACCCAACCTTACAAACTTAAACAAAGACACTAATGCATTCTACTCTAAACATGTCTATAAAGTTTGCAGTGACACATCACATGCTCTCTATACAATATGCTCTGAGGTAAGAACAGTCGAACAGTGTTATCATCAAACATTTTCGAGAGCCTACCTTTGAGAAGAACCTTCTGGGATTTAAAAGAAAGTTTCCTGCTTGAAACTATGATTAACTTTCTCAGAACATTTTTGGAATAAACAAAATTCTAGCAGGGTCTTCAGTTCAGTCAGCAAACAGAAAGAGAACAGTCCAGTTGTCTTTGATTGAGAACCTATACAAACATTGACAGTATGCTGGTTTTACAGACATATTTTGGGTTTCAAGCTCAAGATCAAGAGATTCTTATAAGGTTTATTTGTCACATGCACATTTATACACGGTACAATGTGCAGTGAAATGTGTTTTGTACCAGCATCCAGCTTCAATAAAAATAAAAAGAAGTGTTCAAGAAATATATATATTTTATGTATATATATATATATACATGTACATACACATAAATAACTCAAATAAATAAAGCAAATGGAACACTGTTTTGTTATAAAGGTGCATAAGGTGCATGTGCAAAGGTGTAAAAGGTGCATGTGTGTGTGGCACAGTCTGGTTTAAAGCTCAGAGTTGAGCAAACAGATGGCCTGAGGGAATAAATTCTTCCTCATTCTCTCGGTGGCAGTCTTTAGGCAAGAGTTTTTCATTTAGACACTGTGTCACCTACATGACTGACCTTTTCAGTGCATGGCTTTATTTCAAAATGCTCTCATACTGATGCTGATTTTGAGGGAGTTAGAGCTTCATCCCTGCTGTTCTCCACAGAAACATGATACACCTTAATGTAACTTTCACTATGCTTGCATAGGTCACCACTGGTGCAGATGTTGGCTACTGAAGTGGGATGTTCTACTATAAATGTCACCATATTTTAACCAGAATTGTGGTTTGCAATTGCATCCTTACAAATCCAACCAAAGACATTTGTGCGTTTTACTCTCAACATGTCAATAAAGTTTGCAGTGTCTATATATAAAACTCACTGAGGTACACAAGGTGTCCCCTCTGGATGAGGTAAAGTTTGGAGACCTGCCTCACCCCTCCGCTGCAGGCCGCTCTGCAGAGTTTCAGTCACGGGGTGAGGGAGGGGGTGAGTCTGCAGGACTCGGCTCACCACGCCTCGGTACGGTGAGTCCGTCAGCCATATTGACTACCTCTTCTCCGGTCTGTGGGAGACTGGCGGAGGAGCCTCCTGTGCTCCCAGTGTCACCGTACACTCTTGAGTGCGCACAGCGTCCCGTAAACCGCGCAGAGGACGGGCTCTATTTTTACCCCGCTGTGGATATATAAAGCACCGCAGCCAGCTGGAGGGGGGGACAGTTGGAGACATCCTCAGCGCGTTAGAGGTGAGTTTGATCGCCTTCATCTCTCTCTCTCTCACTGTGCCTGCCTCTCTTTTTAAGCCGTTCAAACGAGGTGGGATTTATTTTCTCCTCTGGGCTGGAGGACGGTAATCGGGGTGTTTTTATTTTTATTTTTTGTATTTTTACGCAGGGCCCGTTAACGAGCTCCTGGCAACTTAGTCCACAGCGTTTTTTTGACAGACAGGAAGGTTAGAGGCGGCGTGGTGACACTTTGGTTGCTCCGCTGCAAAAAACCGGCTTCTCGCACGTTTCAGGAGGGGAGGACGGGTGAGTAAAGCGGTGTCACTTTGCGCTGAGGTGCTGTGTGTCAGGTACAGTGTTATGCAACAGAACGGGGCAGTCCGGGTAATCAGATGCTTGTGGCTTTTCACAGAATGACCTGGAGGCGCCTCATGATTTTTACGCTTCTAGATTCAAAGCAGACACATTTTGGACACTCGTGTTTTTACCAACATCGTGGAGCTGTTCGCTGATTGTTTGAACCTGGACGAGCTCAACACCTTTGCTGTTTAAAATCTGGTGACGTCCCGTTTCTTTTATCGGGATGCTGGTGTTTACACATTGTTTCTTGCGCCGTTTGCAACTTTGCTGCTGCTGACGACGCGTCTTTCTTTCTGCAACAACGTGCCAAACATACGATTCGTTGCTGCTGCTGCTGCTGCCGCTATTTGGTTCGGTATATGTTTTGCGCATGACTCCACAGCACTTATACACTGCAACCTAAAGCTACAACAGCTCCCTCGTTTTTATCATGTGGACAAGTTAGACAAAAAGCGCATATTTAGACAAGAAAACTCGCTGCTGGTTATTTAGTAAAACGTAAACTCTGTTCTCCAACTTCGCTGCTGGGCTGCTTTTGCGCGTAAACGGCGCTCCGGTCCACAGTCACATCAACGCGCCCGCTCTTGATGGTTTGAGGTCCATCTGGCCCCAGCAGATGCTTTGCCGGCGTCAGGAGAAGTCCAGAGCTGCTAATTGGTCTCATTACAACAGCGGAAGTGAATTTATTGGCTAATGTCCCCGTCGCTCAAATCCTCCTGTTGCTCTCGGACCCGCCTCCCTCTGGGACCAAGTTACAACTCATTTGAGAAAGAGGCGCAGCGCATCATGACATGAGATACCTTTGACTGCTGGTTTTAGATTTCTCTCTGCTGAGCTATTTTTTTTTGTAACCTGTTGAATAATCCCATGACTTAAGACCAAAGGAGGAGGTTGACCCATCCTGACCTCATGCTCATGTCTGTGTTGATTTCTGAAAATGAATGGCTTAATTCACTCCTGTAGTTTTCTGGAAGGCCTTAAAATATTTTCTTAACAGTGTTTATAGAATAAAAAAGTGAATTTTTAAAATCCTTGTGTTTGGCTGCCATTTGGCTCAGGAGAAAGTGTCCCAGTGTAACAGGTGGACTTGTATGTTGTGTTGGTTCAAAAGGAGGTGCTGTGACAGGGCTGGGCTGTGTACACTGTTGACACAAAAAAAAGGAAGGAACTGGTTTAAAATCTGTGTTGATCTCAGAAACTAGACATCACTCTTAAATTGTTTTGTGTGGCTTTGAACCTTAGTGTGTGTTCAGGTAAAGTCACTCTTGTATCCTTATACAAAAATCCTTAGAATACATTTCTGAAGTCATTTTTTAGCTATTTTGAATTAAAGGATGAACTTTTTGTCATACTTGGAAAGAGTTTGGCAGCCATGTGGCACACCAAAGAGACAAAGTGGGCAGTGTTGTGTTGGTTATAAAGAAAATGTTGTGACACACAGTGATTTCTTGCTGGTGATCTTCATTTATTCTGACAATATTAATAATAACTTCATTTGTAAGGCACAGTTAATACAGCAAATGCAACTCAATGTGCTTCACACCAAGAAGAGAATAAAATAATTTTGACAAGTAAAGTAAAAACGGAATAAAGCAGTCCTGGTGAAACCTGAGACAATAAAATGCAAAGTAACAGATTGTTCTGACACTAGTGAATTACATAAAACTACATAAAAATCTAGTAAGATGAGATCTTAAAAAGATGTGTTTAAAGGTTTTGTTTGAAGCTTTGAAGCTTCTGAATCGGAGGGTCTGATCTCCTCTAGAAGAATATTCAAGAGGTGAAGTGTGACGACACAGAGAGCAGCATCTCCCAAGATCTTAGTTCAGTTCTTTGGAACATTAAGTGACCAGAGTTGGAAGACACAGAATACAAACTCATATGCATTTAGATATACAGTCGTGACTTGATAATCAGACCCTTAACAATCCGAAAACCTTGCTATCCGACATGTTTCTAGGAACGGAACCCATTAAAAATAGCCTTAACATATCGACAGCCTTGGATTCCGACTCCGAAAGACATTTTATATCACAAATAAGGATAACAACGTATTATCTGACTTAACAATCCAACAGATTGGTTATGTTCAGACTGCAGGACTTAGATGCTAAATTCAGATATTTTTGTGAAATCCAATTTTTTTGCGAGTTCATTCACATTTCCAATTAAATGCGACTTGTATGTGATCTGCTGTGTGAACTTCATACGACCCAAAAGTGTCTGGTGCAGAAGAGGACACGTCGACGTCACACGCAGCGAGCGTGCTCAGTGTTTACGGAAGTAAACATGGATGGTAACGGTGGAGCGTATCCGCCACTGTGACCACCAACTAAACCGACATCAGCAGCGAAGTACTGCCTATGCATTCCGGCCACTTCCACCGCAGGGTTGTGCTCCAACGGGGTGGAATTGGCCAGAACGTGCACAAGCGCACTGGTCAATTAGACGTGAAATCCAGCGATGCGTAGTGTTCTAACAATACACTAGTTATTATAACAACTATAGACAATAAATATTAACAACAAGTGACCCTTTAAGCATCAAGCTCTCCTTGTATCTCGACCTCCGTCTTGACAATCCAACAGCCTTGCTGTGCGACATAAAAGAAGGTTTTACATTTAGTGTTGGATTATCTGAAAATACCGTGCTGAAGAAAAACCACTATTTGATGAGCTGCCTGCTCTAGCTCCTGTCCAAAGAGAATAAAAGAAACGGGACAGAAGTTTGCTTGATTTATCATACCTTTGAGCCAGCAACTCAACTCCTAAAAGTCACTTTGTAGGCAAAAATAGGGCACGGTCTTTATATCATCAGGCAGAACAACAAACAATAACAAGAGGATGCATTAAGTTGAAAGAAACCCTCCACTGCCAGAGGACAATTATACAAAAGGTCAAGATGTGACAGTGGTAAAAAAACATATTGGTGATACCAGAGAGGAAGAAGGAGGGGGCTTTCAAGTTAGTTTTTAGCTCTATAAAAATGTTAAAAAGACAATGTCCTGTGTTGTCAACAACCTAAATATATTCAGTTTACTGCCACAGAGCAGTAGAGAACCAGGAACATTTTCAGATTTAAGAAGCTGGAATCAGAGAACTTTTTTTCTTGAAAAATATCTAACCAATTAATTGATTATCAAAGTAGGTGATTAGAATAATAGTTGACAAATAATTGATTAATTGTTGCAGCTCCAGTCCTGGCAGAAAACTATAACCAACACTTTGGTAATAAAACAGACTTTCTACTGAAGGTTGTCTATTATCCGGTTACACCAGGAGCTGTGTCATTTTTTTTAATTTCTATTAGCAGTATTATGAATGTTCATTCTGCAAATGAGTATTTCCTGGTTTCCTTTCTCCTCTATGACAGTTAACTGGATTTCTTTATGTGGTGGACAAAACAAGATTTTTTGGGCTTTGGTAATAAACACTAAGTAGCACTAAGAGTGTAACTGTGAGAGGAATAGAAGGGGACCCGTCTCAAACTAAACCTCCACCAAAGCTGCATTGACAGCAGCATCCCTCTGTCATGGAAAGAGACAAATAGGCCAAAGCTTGCTTTATTTAGCAGCAATTCAAACCAACTTGCAGCAGCCAACAAACACGTTGATGGTGAAAGCAAGTTGCCAACTGTGCCTCACATTGAGAATGTGAAGCTGGCTGAAGTTAGACAAATTCTTCACACACCAGTTGCCACTGCGAGACTGTCTAAAACGGCTCTCTAGTGTTAAATTCAATTTCATTTTCATTTATGCAGCTTGTTCAATAAATCCCTTTCAACGAGCACTTAGGGTCAGTGTGAAAAACTCTGTCTTTATCAGGAAGAAACCTCCAGAACAGTATGATGTTGGTTGTGTTAATACTGAGTGCAAATCTGACTCTGTGACATTGTTAGAGGTAACTGATGCCTACTTTTTTGGTATATTGTAATTTGCTGTTTCCAGACTTCCTATAGTTGACAACGGCACTTAAAATGTTTAGTGATAATCTTTAAAACTTGTGCTTGTTTTGCTATTTCAAATGTGTGTGCATGCCCAGTCTGGTTCAATCAAAACTAGAAAAAAAGGATTAAACAAACCTGACTGTACCAGAAATATCATTCCCTGTATTGCAGAAGTGCATGCATGCATTAGTAATAAGAATAGTAGGCCAAAGTTGAAGCAGGAAGTGTTTCTGTGCTGCAGTCAGCATTAATATGTGTTCAGTTTGGTTTTAACACCCAGTTTATTCTTCGTTATCAGAACAGTGGTTTAGACAACTGAAGAAAATTAGCATTTAAAACCTGATTTTGATGTTCTGTGTGAGCAAATTCTCACCCTGACCAGTACAAATAATAATAAATCTCTTACTATACAACCTACATTGTAGGATTTTAAAATAATTCACACAAAAAATCCACAATGAAATAATTATTTTAACACAAACTATGTTTCATGGATGCATATGTTCTTACTTCTGCTCCTAAAAATACCAAATAGTCACAGCTTCCAAAGAAAACTGTTCTGTTTTGGACTAATACTATAATGAACATTTTTCTGGCATTTTATATTAAAAAAAAGACTAAGTGATGAATCAATCAAATAGTCTGCAGTTTATTGGATATTAAGAATGACCAGTTGTAGCTCTTAAGCATGTGTTGGGTTAAGTGATGCAAATATT